CTGAATTAGGTCATCCATTTTGAAGTATTGCTTTTGGGGACGTAGGCCATAAATTATTTTGTTCTTTTATGAGCTATATAAATATAATTTCAAACAGAGCTATTTCATGGGTGGATGCAATTTAATCTAATACAAATTTTTAATTTGAAATAATAACTAAAAAAAAAAAGCTGGCACGCTATTTAGAGAACCGTCACAAAAATACGTGGCCTATCGTAAGATAACAATCACTAGTTAAACCTTACAGCAAAAGATGGGTAGTCACGCAGAAGCTGACAACTGTACATTATATAACAATTAAATACAGCAGTTCTTCTACGACCCATACATTTTTTTCTGATTGCACTATTATACCTTTCGATATTTCTCATTAAACATACACGACTTTTCTTTTTTTTCATATTTATTGGGCCCATGATAAATTTTTTATTAAATGAGTTCCCGTCCGATTTAAACCAGTCCCTTCTACCCTGGGTGCTTGGCATGTTGGCTTTGGGTGAGATTGAAATCCAGCTTTTTGGATTGAGTCAGTTTAGACGGCTCGGCCACCCAGTTCGACTTAGAACAACACATCACTTAAAGTTCGGGGTCACATCCAAAGGCTTTATGGTACAGCACTATTTTTATTATTGTAACTAAGAGTTGCGAAATTCATTATTCGCCCTTTAAAAAAATAATTAAAATTGTTGTTAAAATTATTTAATTTTTTTGTGTGTTGTTTTGCAAACACATAATGGTCTTTACACGTCAAATTATTTTTAAATAACTTGAGATTGTCAACATCTGCAGCTAGTTGGTGTTGTTGGCTCTGAACTGCCGAGGAAAACCAGTATCATGTATATTTCTATTTTTATAAATAGCGAAATCACATGAACACTAGCAAAGAAAAATACATACTCCTGTGGCAGTCAAAATTTATATTAAAAAAACACATGTACGAACCATACACAAAAAACACACAGACATCCATACACACAGACATACATACACACAGACATACATACACACAAACACACACACACAGACATACATACACACAAACATACACACACACAGACATATATACACACAGACATACATACACACAGACATCCATACACACGGACATCCATACACACAGACATACATACACACAGACATACATACACACAGACATACATACACACAGACATACATACACACAGACATACATACACACAGACATCCATACACACGGACATCCATACACACAGACATCCATACACACAGACATCCATACACACAGACATACATACACACAGACATCCTTACACACAGACATCCATACACACAGACATCCATACACACAGACATACATACACACAGACATACATACACACAGACATACGTACACACTGACAATAAGCAACATATGCACACACAATTTAACGAACACACACACAAAGAAGCAATAGTACAAACACACAAACACACACACAAATACACTAACACACATACACACGAACACACACAAACACAAAAACACACAAATTTGTTGGCATTGTTTATAAACTCACCCACTCCTCTCTCACCACCCATCGCTCTCTATCTCTCTCCCCTTCCCCTCGCTTTCCATCTCTCTCTCACTCACTTCCATTCCTAGCTCTCTCTCTCTCTCACTGTTTTCTACAGACACCCACATACAAATCAATATGTACAGCAATAAAAACTCAACGTCGCGCTGTGCCATCAGTGCTAATTAATCGTAGCAATAGAATGTATCACACGTGGATGTTAAAATGTAACATAATATCAGCTGATCAGAGCACTAAAAAAAATGAAATCCTCAAACTATACTAAACTAATCTAAACTAAAATAAGCTCAACTAATCTGAAATACATAACTAAACTAAACTAATCTAAACTAAACTTATCTAAATTAAACTAACCTAAGCTAAACTAAACCAATTTAATCTAAACTAAATACGTTGAGGTAAACTAAGTTAGTGTTGATTAAACTAAAATAAGCTATTATCAAATAAACTAAACTAATTTAATTTAATCGAAGCTAAACACATTACGGTAAACTAAACTAATGCTAATTAAACTAATATAAACTAATATAAACTAAACTAATAGAAACTAATATAAACTAATCTAAACTAAACTTATCTAAATTAAACTAACCTAAGCTAAACTAAACCAATTTAATCTAAACTAAATACGTTGAGGTAAACTAAGTTAGTGTTGATTAAACTAAAATAAGCTATTATCAAATAAACTAAACTAATTTAATTTAATCGAAGCTAAACACATTACGGTAAACTAAACTAATGCTAATTAAACTAATATAAACTAATATAAACTAATATAAAATAAACTAAAAGAAACTAATATAAACTAATATAAACTAAACTAATATAAACTAATATAAACTAATATAAACTAATATAAACTAATAGAAACTAATATAAACTAATAGAAACTAATAGAAACTAATAGAAACTAATATAAACTAATAAAAACTAATACAAACTAATATAAACTAATATAAACTAATATAAACTAATATAAACTAATATAAACTAATAGAAACTAATAGAAACTAATAAAAACTAATAGAAACTAATAGAAACTAATAGAAACTAATAGAAACTAATATAAACTAATATAAACTAATAGAAACTAATAGAAACTAAACTAATAGAAACTAATAGAAACTAATATAAACTAATATAAACTAAACTAATATAAACTAATATAAACTAAACTAATATAAACTAATATAAACTAATATAAACTAATATAAACTAATATATACGTATATCAGATTTATTGAATGGACAATATTATGAGGACTATAGTAAAGATAATTAATGAAAAAAAAAAAAAAAAAAAAAGGCATGTTATCTACAGG